CGACGGCGACAATAATAGTAGCTCCCACTGTTGCTGTCTTACTGTGTTAGGCACTGGGCCAAGCACTTTACGTCTATTATCTCATTTAATCCGCAGAGTAACTCTTGTCAGGTGGATAATACTATCGCCGTTTTAAAACTCAGAGGTTGCATAACTTGCCCCTATTTACAGTTAAGACGAGTTAGGATTTGAACCCATGTCTCTCTGACTTCAAAGGTAATGCTTCAGACTACTGGACTGTAATGTCTCCCACACTGTGCCCTGGGCATTGTGAGAGACTCGGGTACTCGTTTAACCGGAAAGCGAGAGCGTAAGGGGTGGGCCAGAGTAGGCCGTAAGTGGTCCCCCTCTGGTGAAGGGGGACAGGCTCCCTTCTTGTCCTGGAAATAGTGGGACACCATCTATCCTAGAAAGTTTGGCTGCCAGTGGGGGCTGGGCCTGGAAAGTAAGATGGATGATGATTTTCTCCAAACTAAGGGGATTTCTTGACAGGTGTTTCTTTTCTTTGGCATCTTCTTACTTCCTCTAGAATTGCGAATTTGTCTATATTTTCCAATTTACAAACTGAGTTATTGAAGGTCGCATGCAGGGCAGATCTGCGGCCTTTTGTTGACACTCAACTCTACAGAAGATGACTAAACTTCCATTACACCTTTGCATCTTACGCCAGGAATGGCCACCAAATATGGGCAGCAGCAGGCCCTGTTACTCCAGAGTAGTACTGTACTTTTTCTCTGTCGGATCTCATTTGAAAAGTTGATATTAGCTGTGGATCTTCTCCCCAGGAATAGTAAATAGACAAACATAAACAGACATTTACTTACATGTGGGGGGAGCTTGTGGGCCCCTGGAAAATACTCTGTGAATCATAGGTTAAGAATTCCTGTTTTGGAGGAAATAAGAAAAAGGAAGAAGAGAGTTTTGCTAGGCAATAGTGTCATTCAGGGTGGTGGTCCCCAACCTTTTTGGAGCTAAGAACCAGTTTCATGGAGGCCAGTTTTCCAGTTTGGGGCATGGCGGTGATTTGGGGATGGTTCAAGCGCATTACATATTGTGCACTTTATTTCTGTTACTACATCAGCTCCACTTCGGATCCTCAGGCCTTAGATCCCAGAGGTTGGTGACCCCTGATGTATTGTAAAACACGTGGATGTTTGTTGGAATCCTGATTGGTCCTCAGTTTACTCATCTATACAATGGGGAAATAATGCTTTCCTAGGATTAAGTGAGATAACAGTGTAAAATGCAGGGGACATGATAAATGTTTATTTTCCTCTATGAGCAGATAGCAGAAGTCTTCCCATTTAGTTTTCATATCTAGCTCTTTTCCTTATCTTTTTTTAAAACTTGAAACCAACATTGAAACTTTTAACACAGTTTCAGCAGGAACCTTCAGCCCCCACCCCGCAACCCTCTGTATTCACTTGGTTTTGGTGAATTGAGGGAATTAGGGACTGACATCAGTGCACTCCCTGCTTTGAGTTTTGCTACTGCTGTGGTCTCTGCTTGGAACCTTTCCCCCAGAGAGTATCTAGCTCCTCCTCACCTCATTTACAGGTACTCAGAGGTTACCTCTTCATAAAGGGCTTCCCTGACCACCTGACTAGTTCTCAATCCTCTTACTCTATTTCTCTTCAAGCACTGTCTATTTTTCATTTAAAATACTTCATTATAAATTAGGTATTTACTTGTTTATTTATAGTTGCCCCATGAGAATGTAACTCTACGAGAGCAAGGGTTGATTTGTTAACTCTGTACTCCCAGCACCTAAAATGATGCTTGGCACTAGGTAGTCTGTATTAAATGAGTGACATGAAGGTTTGGTGCATCCTGTCATTCACTTCCTGTTGGTACCCAGCTGAGGCTTGTCACGTGATCCTCTGTGTAGCCACCTGGTTTTGATGTGCTCTCCTTCTTGCCTCTTTGCCGGGAGAGCCTCCCCTTCTAGCAGTCTACTTCCCAGTCAGCCCAGTTTCTGCTAATTGCTGTGTTCCCAGTTAACCCTTCCAAAACTTTAATATGACCAAGTAATTAGATCTCTGCTTTTAATCTGGGCAAACGGAAACAACCCATTTGTCTAGCAGACTTTTCCTGGGTCCCAGTTCTGAGCAAAGCATTGTGGGAAATGCAGAGTTGAAGTCCTAGTCCGTAACCCTGAGAAGCAGTCCTCTATGAGAGAGGTCGAAAAATATACAATGCCAGGAGCATAGAAGTGTTGGATTGAGCCCTGGCTTCACTGCTTGCTTGTGTGACCTTGGGCAAGTGTCTTCATTGCTATAAACATCAGTTTCACTGTCTTTATTTATTTATTTCTGGCCACACCAAGCAGCTTGAGGAATCTCAGTTTCCCTACGTATTGAACCCATGCCCCCTGCAGTGGAAGCATGGAGTCCTAAGCACTGGACCACCAGGGAAGTCCCAGCATCCTTTTTCTTTTTTAAATTAAAGTATAGTTTATCTACAACACTATGTTAGTTCCATGTGCACATAGTGATTCGATGTTATTAGGTTGGTGCAAACATAATTTTTGTTTGGACTGCGGTTTTAGACTGAATTTTAAATCATTATAACTAGGCTCAAACACATCTTTATTAATCAAAATAGGAATCAACACATTTTTCGGTTGTACAATCAACACATTTTTGCCAACAAGAAATAAACATATTCATTCCTATAGCATAAAAATCTGTGATTTGGAATTCAATAAACTCTGGAATTCAACAAACAAATTCAACAAAGCATTTTCTGCCTGCCGCTGGTTGTGGAAGCATTTTCCCTGCCAAAAGTTGTTGAGATGTTTGAAGAAGTGGTAGTCAGTTGAATGAGGTCAGGTGAATGTGGCGGATGAGGCAAAACTTTGTTGCCCAATTCGTTCAACTTTTGAAGCGCTGGTTGTGTGACATGTGGTCGGGCGTTGTCTTGGAGCAGAATTGGGTGCTTTCTGATGACCAATGCCGGCTGCAGGTGTCGCAGTTTTCAGTGCATATCATTGATTTGCTGAGCATACTTCTCAGATATAATGGTTTCGCCAAGATTCAGAAAGCTGTAGTGGATCAGACAGGCAGCAGACCACCAAACAGTGACTGTGACCTTTTTTTGGTGCAGTTTTGGCTTTGGGAAGTGCTTTGTAACTTCTTGGTCCAGCCACTGAGCTGGCTACTACTGGTTGTCACATAAAATCCACTTTTCATCACATATCACAATCTGTGCATAGAGGAAGAGAAGATGACACTTGAAAATGATGATTTTTTTGGTTTTCTGTCTGCTCATGAGACACCCACTTATTGAGCTTTTCCACCTTTCCAGTTTGCTTCCAGTGCTGAACTGTAGAGTGGTTAACATTGAGTTCTTTGGCAACTCCTTCTCCTTGTGTAGTTATGAAAGGGTGAGCTTTGATGATGCTCTCAGTGGGTCACTGTTGTTGCATGCTTGTCAGCTTCCGATGGCTGGCCACCGCTCTCCCCATCTTCAAGGCTCTTGTCTCCTTTGCGAAACTTCTTGAACCACCACTGCACTGTACATTTATTAGCAGTTCCTGGGTCAGATGCGTTGTTGTTGTTGCGAGTTGTCTCTGCTGCTTTATGACCCATTTTGAACTCGCAAAAAAAAAAAAAAAAAAAATCGCTCGAATTTGCTTTTCGTGTAACATCATTTCCCTAGTCTAAAATAAATATAAAATAAACAGCAAGTAGTGTCATTATCAAAAAATCATAAAGCGAGAAATGCGCATTAAGAGGATGTATAACATAACTACATTTATTTAAGACTGTATTCCAGTGTCAAACGGCGAAGTTCAACAGTGTAAAACCACAGTTAACATTTGCACCGACCTAACGCTCTACACTACAAAATGGTCACCACACAGGCATTCTTATTAGTAAAGATATTAATTAACCTTTGTGTGTTTACGCCTGCCCTTTTTTTGTGTTGAGACTGTATTCTCCAGAGTCAGGCGAGTTACTACTTGAGTGGCAGTCCTCAGAATCTGTGACAGGAGGCTGGAGAGTGACAGAGAGGGGGGAACAGTCCTGTTACTGAGCTTCCTTCCTTAGCATCTTGCGGGGCAGTCACACTGGATTATTTGTGTTGACAAAAATAATAAGTATGACTCTTAATAATCTTGGAGCTTTAGCTCCAAAGGTTAGCCGCCTAAGGAGTTTTGATGTTTTGTTTGGTACACTGACTACAAAGCTGCCTGAAAACCATCAAGTGCAATAGCTTACCTGAGTATAGGGTTTGGCTTAACTTCACTCTGCACAGGGTGCCTGAAGTACTTGACTTTGCCAACATGAAATCACTCCTGTGATTTCTTGGTCTGTGAAGCATCTTTAAGTCCATTATCTCATTAGACCTTCCCCTTCCATCAACCCTGTGATTGGCATCACAGATTTCACTGTTACTTTTTTGGTTGGAAAAGATTGAAGTTCAGCAGAGTGAAGTGACTTAACGAAAGTGTTTCAGCCAGTAACAAGTCTACACTTAGAATCAGGTCTTCTGACTATAAACCCTGTATCCTTCTATATGCCTTACTAATTGCTTTAAAGTTCTTTATAGTGATTCAGAATCTCTCTCTTTGAATCTAGTTCAGGGTGCTTTCTGGCACCATGCCACAGAGAAGCAGTTTAAGAACAAAAATAACAATATCTACTTTTTTTTTTTGGCTGTATGTGGGAACGAATCCATCCCCCCTGCAGTGGAAGTGTGGAATCTTAACCACTGGACTGCCAGGGAAATCCTACAGTACCTGCTTCTTGAGTAGGTACTATGCAGCAGGCCCTCTACACACATTATCTCACTGATAACCCTGAAGGGCAGATAATGTTGTCACCATTGTACAGCTGGGGAAAGCTGATGTTCAGGAAGGTTAAGCAGTGACTCAGGATGACTTAATAACTTTTTACAGGACAGTGCTCAGCTCTAAAAAGAGTGAGTCTCAGTTACTTAACCTATCACCTGTAAAATGGGGATAAATAGTGTTTGTTTTGCTAACCTCTCATGGTTGTTGTGAAGATCAATAAGTAACTGTGAAGACCTGAAAGTTTTATAAATGTTAATGATCATTATTATTAAACATAATTAAAGCAGTCTGAAAGTAGAAGTTTTGCAGAAGGGATTCATGTTTCTGTTGGGAGGAAGAATGTGCTTATGTTCAGTGAAGAAATGGGGCTGGTTGAATTATATAACCTTTGTGGTACCATGGAACCTTAAGTTATAAGGGTCTTCAGACTCCGCAGCCTCGAGTTACTTCTCTGAATTCCTCTTCTGTTCGCTCTCGGGTTTACTCATCTCTAGTCACACTGGTCTCCTAGCTGTGTCTCACACATAGCAGATACACTCCCACCTCCGGGCCTTACACTTGCTGCCTCAAGTTTTTTCACCTACATATCTTCATGGCTTTCCCTTATTACCTTCATGTCTTTGTACAAATATCACCTTAATGAGGGCTTTTCTAACTATCCTACCTAAAATTGACACCTCCCCATACACATACAGGTGAACATAAATATTCACTAATCTTTTATGCTCATTTTCCTCCATAGCACTTACACCATTGGCATACTGTTTATTTATTCAGTTTATTGCTGTTTCCCTCCTGTTAGGTAGTTCCTGGTACATAGTAAACCTTGAATGAATGATTTTTTTCTACACTATGGCTTATTCCTATTTTTAAAGTCTGAAGACTTTTTAAGTTATCTTGCACTATTTATGTCGAGCTATTCCACATAGGCTTGATTCATAATTGAGTGGAGATAAACTTAGAAATTAAGAGAGGCTGTGGAGAGTCTGGGTCAGAGATTCCATTCCCAGATTCCAGGCTTATCGATGCTGTGAGCACCAACAGATCTGTTTAGGGCTTTGATTTTTCTTATTGATAAATTGGGGGTTGCTGCATGTGTAAAGTGCTTAATAACATTGTGATATGTATGTTACTTGGCATCATGGTGGGCAAGGCTCTTGGATTCTCCATCCAAGGACTCATTAATAATGCAAGGAAAGCTCTCCTGATTTAATGCAGTGGCGCCAACTCTATGGACTGGTTACTGCTGGACTGTCTCCATTCATTCATGCTCAGGCCACTCTAATGCCAAACCCTTAACTTGACTAAAAATCATTCTTCTCCTTAATAGCTTCCCTTTAACTGCCATACTTGGTACTATACCCTGATCTTGGAGATACCCTGATCTGTTTTAGTTGAATTCAGAGAGCTTACTTATTCAGCAGCTGATTCTCTTTGACTCCATAGTACAGCTATCTTTTGTTTTTTGAGGGGGGAGGTGATTAATACTGCAGTTGTGGGGAACAGTGAACAGAATGAACGGTGGCTTAGAAACTTCTGGTTTCTGTCCCCCCAATTACTTTTGTCAATAATTAGCTGTCCTTGGACAAATTACTGAACCATTCTGAGGCTCCGTTTCCTCATGTCTAAAACAAGATTAGTTCCTGCCCTTTATGCTTTACAGAGTTGCTGTAGAGTGGAAACTGAGATTAAGGAAAAATAGAATACGGTATGTAAGCAAAAGGCATTCGCATTACTATTCTTGCAGTGACCTCATCACCAGGCCGTGAGGATGAGGTGAGGAACGATGGGTCCTGGGAGTCTGGGCTTTGACTTTGGTTATACTGTCTTCCCCAGAAGACTTGCAGACAGAAAGGCGCTCTGCTGCAAGTCTGACAAGCCTCCATTCAGAAGGGACTGGGAGGGTGGCACTTGATTTTCAGCCTTATTTCTATGTAAGTACCTTGACCCAGATGTTAACACGTTTCTCACTTTGTTTAACTTTGATAATGCCTTTGCTCCAACCTGCTGCTTTTATTCTATAGTCTTGGTGTTTGCTGTTCCTTTCACCTTCCCATCTCTGTTTTTTGGTAGATAGGTGACAGGATTCTTTATCTGAGAAGAGATTCTGTGATTCTAACTGTGGTTGTAGTAGAAGCCAGTCCAGGTCAGCATTGTGTTCCAGGCACAGAAAAGATTGTATTTCCTTCAGTTACCCGTTTCCTGCAGACACTTTAGCTGTGTCGAGAGGAACAGTATTTTTCCCGTTGGTGACTTAGAGGGGTCATCGCTAGTGCAGTGGACTTCATCTGGTACTTCATTCCTCCCGGCTGAGTCCTCTGCTGCTCCTCGAGGGGGCCTTAGGAGTGCAGTGAGGCTTGGCAGCTGTGGTGGGGTCCTGGGTCAGCAGACATCACTCTGGTGTGTTGGAAGGGTGACTGCTCAGTGGATGAGGCACCTTTCCCAGCCCATTTTCTAGTGGGTCTGGTTGCAGCCCTGTCACATTGACCCTGGGGAGCCAGATTGTTTGGCTGCTGCACGGAGGATGATGCTCTTTCCCACCGGACACCAGCAACCTTCCTTTGAATTCTTCCAGTTGCATTGAGGCTGATCTAGACTCTCACCAAACTTTCCCTTCTGTGTGGCTTGCTCCTGACTGCCTTTTCAATCTCTTTTAGAGCTCTGAGCTCTTCACCCTGACCTACGGTGCTTTAGTTACCCAGCTCTGCAAGGACTATGAAAATGATGAAGATGTGAATAAACAGCTGGACAAAATGTGAGTGCGCTCCTCTGTGGGAGAGACAGGAATGGGACTCCAGAGCAACCAAATCTACGTGGCCCCTTAGAGCCCAGAACAGGGTCCTCTGTCATAGCCAACACTTTGGGTGCAGTTTCCTCAGCTTATTTATTGGGAGGTTTGGGAATTGTCCTCATTTTCCTTTTACCGCCAACAGCATTACATTCAGACATAAGACATTCAGACTCCATAATATAGTTAGTTATCTCATTTCTTTCCCAGGGGCTATAACATTGGAGTCCGACTGATTGAAGATTTCTTGGCACGGTCAAATGTCGGGAGGTGCCATGACTTTCGGGAAACTGCAGATGTCATCGCCAAGGTCATTATCCTGGGCCACCAGGCCATGCTGAAGAATTGTCATTGGAAGACACTGCTTACCACCCTGTCCCTTAGAGAAGCACTTAGTATTCCAGAAGAATAGCTGGGCAGCTGTCTGGGCCGTAGAAGCCTCCCTGGTGGTTTAAGAATAGTACAGATTATGAAGAAGGGAAGAATGGTTGGAAGCATCCCTGTGGACTAAAGCCCCACTGGAAGGAGAGGGGTGTGGAGTTGTGCACAGTTGCTTTTCCTTCTTTGCCCTGAATATGTGGAGCTTCAGTGTCTTGCAGAGGCCCCAGTTTTTTTCCAGAGCCATTTAAGTCCCCTTGCCGGTCCTATCACATCACCTTCCCTGGTGCACAGCCCCTCCTGCTTGTCCCATAGTGCCATTGTGTGTCTCCTGACAGGTGGCATTCAAGATGTACTTGGGCATCACTCCAAGCATCACCAATTGGAGCCCAGCTGGTGACGAATTCTCCCTCATTTTGGAAAATAATCCCTTGGTGGACTTCGTGGAACTTCCTGATAACCACTCATCCCTTATTTATTCCAATCTCTTGTGTGGGGTGTTGCGAGGAGCCTTGGAGATGGTGAGTGCAGCTCTTTACCTTCTGAGACACCTGAAAGGTAGTAGGGTCTTAATAAATGTTTAAATGAATGAACGAGAGTTAAAAGAGGGTTTAGAACTCACCCGGTACTTTGCTGCTGGAGATGGTGATGCTGCCAAGCATAGGATCCAAGTTGGAGTTCTCTACGTGGTGTTGATCTTCATTGCTTAGGCTGGAAGGTGGTGCTGTCAGCCCCCAAAGCCCAGGAGCATCTGTTCCCAGATTGGCTTATCTGGTGACAGTTTAATTTGCGAGTGTTCTTTGCTAAGTCTTTCCTGTTGGGTCGGGGCCACTGTCTTTTGCACAGGAACTAGCAACCTTGTCCTTGTGAAAACCATCCCCCTTGTTTAGGCTGCTCTAGGTGAGGCAGTTATAGCTGCATCCCCAGTGATTTCACAGAGGCTGTGGCTAGGCAGGTGCCCATTCATTTTCACACTGTCCCCCAGGTCCAGATGGCTGTGGAAGCCAAATTTGTCCAGGACACTCTGAAAGGAGATGGTGTGACAGAAATCCGGATGAGGTTCATCAGGCGGATTGAGGACAACCTCCCAGCTGGAGAGGAATGACCACCCCCAGGACTTCAGGGTAGCCAGCAGGAGCACTTGTTGGAATCAGAAAGCCTCAGTGCTCCTTCTGCCTTCGAGAATTCAGTGACTCTTTAACGGATGTTATATATTCTTCTAACCTTGTTTCCATTCTCTCCGTGTTAATAAAGAGCAGACTGTGATATAGTCCATTTACCTACAAGTGTGCGCATTCAGGAGGGAAATTCTCTGCTCCCTTTCTCTTCAAAGGGGCTGGATGTAGTCATCCTTTGTTGGACTAGAGGAGCTCAAACCATTTTACATTCCTGTTTGAATTTTCCAAAGCAGAACCCACTCTGACCCCATTAAGAGGCAAACCTCACACACCTATACCTGGGTCTTCAGAAAGTCATTGGTGAGTGACTGTAGGGAGTCCAGGACTCACTGGACAGGGAGGAGAAGATGGGAGGGGCGGGTCGGATTTGCTGGCTGGAGTGTGATACACTCTAGTGCTTGCCAGGAAAGGGGAGCCAGTCATGCCAGAAACATTGACTTCTGGGAAACCACCCAGGTCTCTCATTCCTCCCCGCTGTTTGGAGGCAACATCTCCTCTTTTTACAGAGGGTCCATCTTTTTTTCTTACAAATTCTTCAATAAAAACACATTCTTGAGTGAAATCCCAATCATGTCCTGTTTTCTTTCTGCTCGGCCCTGGGAATTTTGTTACAATGGGGTGTGGAGACCTGCTGAGTCCTGTGCCCTACCTTGGTTTTATCTAATCCAGAAATACTTCTCCCCATGGACCAGAGAGTCTGGGAAGCCTGGGAGCAAATGAGGCTCCTTCAGAGTCATTTTTGAGTCCACTGTCTATAGCAAAATCTAGAAGCAGACCAGTATCCCAGATGTTCCTAAAATGGACTATCCTGGGCTCTTGGCCACCATGTTGGAGGATTTGGCTAGAAAGACCATGTAAACCTTGTTAGGTTGCCATTTAGTGAGTGCTTACCAGGTGTCATCTCTGCACTGAACACTTTGTATGCATTGTCTAATTCACAGTAATACCATTTTTAGGAGGAGGCCACAAGTTGCCCAAGGTCATATGGCTAGTAAGTGGAGAAGCTAGGGTTCAAAGCCCCAGCCAGACTCCATAAGCCCATGTCTTTTTTTCTGCCCTGGGTCTTAGTTGTGGTACATGGGATCTAGTTCCCCGACCAGGGATAGAACCTGCGCTCCCTGCAGTGGAAGGCAGATCCTCAACCACTGGACCACCAGGGAAGTCCCCACAGCCCACATTCTTAACCATGGTGCCTGGTTCACACTGGAATGGTGGGGGAGCAGGCCTGCGGATCCCTCTCAGTCTCACAGAGCTTAAGGTAGCTTTTAAACAGAGGGGTCGGAGGTCATCAGGCCATATTTGGCAGCACTCTTCTTGGGGACAGCCTCGGGCCTTGAGGTCCAGATACTCAGGTTGTTGGGGTGAAACAGAGCCCCAGACCTTCCCCAAGGTTAGTGGACAAGTCAGATGAGGGGAGCATTGTGCTTAAAGTGTGTCTAGTCATATGAAGTTTTGGGGCACTAGAACACCCAACCTGCCTCCTCCAGCTGGGTTAAGCTGCTGATGAGAAGTATCACTTCTAGCACCCATAAAGAAGGCTGAGCGCCCAAGAATTGATGCTTTTGAACTGTGGTGCTGGAGAAAACCCTTGAGAGTCCCGTGGCCTGCAAGGAGATCAATCAATCCTAAAGGAAATCAGTCCTGAATATTCATTGGAAGGACTGATGCTAAAGCTGAAGCTCCAATACTTTGGCCACCTCATGTGAAGAACTGACACATTAGAAAAGACCCTGATGCTGCAAAAGATTGAAGATGGGAGGAGAAGGGGATGACAGAGGATGAGATCACTGACTCATGAACATGAGTTTCAGCAAGCTCCAGGAGTTGGTGATGGACAGGGAGGCCTGGTGTGCTGTAGTCCATGGGGTTGCAAAGAGTTGGACACGACTGAGCGACTGAACTGAACTGATGCTTCCTCTAGGATCCCCTTCTCCAAGCCTCTTTACCTCCCCCTCCAGAGACATAACAGTTTGGGGCCCCAGTGCAAATGGGGCCCCCTTTTGGTCAACTGCATCCTCAGCACCCAGCATGGGGTTGGGTGCAGTCACACCAGAGTGTGAGTGAATGAGCGCGCGACTGATGGAGTGAATGCTGGGGCCCAGATGTGGGAAGCGTGTGGTGTCTGGACCTGCCAAGAAAAGTGTGATGCACCACCCTTTCCTTCTCCAGGGGGGCCCTCGCCCTTCCTCTCATCCCCGTACCACAGCCTACTTTCCAGCAGCTGTTTGTATGGCGTGAGGTTTCGGATATTTCCTTTCCCAGAATTTAACTTGGGCAGCATTACAGTGTCGGCAAGCTGTGGAAACAAAGTCCCCTTAGTAAGTTCTCCCAATCACAGCTCCAGTGTGTGTGCACGCACTCAGGGGCTGAGGACCGTGAGCTGCTCAGAACATCACCTCATTCTCTCCCCAGATGAGCCAACCATACAAGGCCCAGCTACCCAACAGCTGCTCCCCCCACCCCTGAAATTACTTAGCTGTAGATTACATACCCCTTTCCTCTACTGTGGCTGGGGGTGGGCCACCCCCACCCCACAACCCCCAGGCTAGGCCATTCCCCATTCATGCCGTACCGGCACACCCTCCCGGTGAGAAGGGGCAGGGTTGCCTGGCTATATGGGAATGGCTGACTAACCAGGTGGGGTTCCCACAGAGGCTGGGTGGCTGGAGGAGGCCATGCTGGTGGCTTTGGGGCTTGGTGCTGGCTGCGCAGAGCACTAAGGAAAGGCCTTGTCTGCAACCTTTGGCCACCAGGGGTCAGCAGATCACCACTGTAACATTCCAGAGAGTACCCACGAGATCCTTGGTTTTCAGAATTTGCCAGAAGATGCACCTGATGGAGCAAATCTCAGAAGCTGGTCAGAGCCTGAAAGTGCCGCCTTTCTTTAGTCACAACCATTTGAAAACAGAGCTTCCATGGCTGCCCAGGGCGTTGGAGAAAGCACATTGGCAAAGAAGTCTCTGGCTTCCATTCACACCTCATACTCTCATAGTCCTGAGTTTGAGGCGTCCAACCTCCTGAGTTGGATGCGCCAGCTCTGAGCCCTTGTCTAACCAACCCCTCACTTCCTGAGTGGAGACCAGAGTACTAGCCCTCGTCCCCTGATGTAAGAGGGTCCTGTCCCTGCCCCAGCCCCCAACCAGTGACATTTCCAGATTCAGGGTACCCCTTTCTCTGGCAGATTGGCTGCCCCTACATTTGTCCTGGGCATGCAGGTCTGAGAAGGAGGTGGCCACAGAAGCCCAGGAGCAGAAATTGCATTAAGTAAAATTAAAACAGTCTCCTAACAAGCAGTTCATTGTGGCTGCTAGGGGGTGGTGGTGCAGGAAAGGCATCCTCCGTTCTCCTGGAGCTTAAGTGCTACCATGTGCTGTTCCCTGGAAGCCAGAGGGCCGGTGGGAGGGAGCGGAGGGTGGCAGCAGGCGAGGAGCCTCGCTTTTACCAACCCCCCGCCTTTGATGTAGGGCCAGGTCTGACCCCAGGACGGCCGCTGGCCATTGCCAGGGGAGCTGTGGGATGCAACGCATTCCTGGGGGCAATTTGCGCTTCTGGCAGAAGGAGAGGAAAGTTTCTACTGTGGGGAAGGGGGTGGAGAGAGGGCGCTGCAGCAGACTTGAGGGGGTGGGTGCTGTAAGGAATAAGGGAGGGAGTCAAGGCGCAGGGTAGCCCCCCTGACTCAACCTGGCTCACTTAGCCTGTGAGATCGAGGCCTCTTCTAGGAAGCCTTCTCTGATGGACCCAAAACAGGTGAGGAGCAGTACTGTCACCCCCCACCACACAGGTATAGTCCTGGGAGATGCCGAGAGAAACAGCTGCTTGTCCCTCCTGGCTCTGGAGGCCTGGGCCATCAGTCGTGGGGGCATCTAGGACCGAGCCAGGCTGGAGGAGGGCTGGGAAGGTGGCGTGATGAGCATGACAGCGCGTGAGTAAGTGCAGACCAATGTTATTCATAGCAACAGCTAATATTTATCGCAGAGTGACTCTGCCAGTGCTGGTCTACGCACTTCACATGCATCTCTCCTTGAGCACTCACAATGCTCCTATCACTATTCCCATTTTGCAGATAAGAAAACCGAGATACACAGCTAATACATAGTAGATTCAGGACTTGAACCAAAACAGCCCAGTATTGGACACCAAGCTCTTCTCCACTATATTCTGGGTTGCATATGTGTGTTTTTGTATTTCACTGGGTGACTGTTTGCCTATGTTCCTTGAAGAGTGTATTATGTGAATTCTTTCATTTAATGAGAATGTAGCCCCAAGTTAAGGGCTGGAGACATGATGCTGGGAGCTTTTATCCATGGGGAAGCAGCTGAAGGCATGTATAGCGATGGGGAGGACAGGTTGAAAACATAGAGCCAAGGGTGAGCCCCAGCTCTGCAACTTATTGGTTATGTGACTCTGGACAAAGAATTGGAATTCTGAGCCTCAGTTTTTTCATCTGGAAAACGGGAATAATAATGTCTCCCTTGCTGACTGTTTTGAGGATAAAACAAAATGAAGTATGTGTGTTTCCTGGCCTAGGCTGAGTGTTCCCTAATTGGCAGTTATGATGAACATGATATTTGGGGGAATTATCTTACAGAATTGCTGTGTGTGGATTCATGAGTGTCTGCAGATGGTAATTTTGCAAAATCAGGGCCATGCCTCTATTGTTCATGGCTGTATCCCCAAGTGTCTAGCATTATTTTCAGCACAAAGCAGGCACTCAATAAATTTTTATTCACTGTTGACTAAGTTTAAGAATGGAGTAAGGAGGGCCCATAGAGACAGGGTGGGTGGGCAGTGTGAGCTCAGCGCCAAACGAAAATGCAGAGCCCCTGGTTCAGAAAAGATGACCCAAAAGAGCCTTAAACTAAGCCCTTCTGAGCTGCAGGCCCATGAGGCCAGCCCCGCCTCCCCTTGCCTTTGAGCATCCCATCCAGCCCCCAGCCCTCCCCCAGCCCAGCTGGGAGGGAGTATAAGGAGACTTCGCCCAGGCCTGTGCTTCCCGGGATGCCTGAGGATTGCTCAGTGTCAGCAGGCCGGGAAGGGGCTCAGTGACCTGCAGACCTCTCCCCCAGGGAGCCCCTCCTGAGCCAGGCCATTCCTGAGAGCAGCCCTCTTGCCCTCCATCCGTCTAGGAACTTACCCCCCACCCCAAACCACCAACCAGGCCTCTGGGTGGTCTGGGCACATGTGGTCACATTTAGATGTTGATTGAATCAAAATTGTTATAAGATTAGAATATTTAAGGTAACTTCAATTTCCACAGCATTACTGGGATTTTTGAGGATGGGGCTGAGCGGTCCCCGGGGGTGGAAGTGAGGAGAATGGTGGGGGCTGCAGGAGGGCTCTTCATTACCCTAGTTCTGTAAGAGAGGCCTCTGGTGGCTGAAAAGAAAGAAGAAGGAAAAAAAATAATAATAAAAAAAAAAGAAAGAAAGAAGAAGGACTCAAGAGAGGGCAGGGCTTCCCAGGAATTGTAGAACCAAGAGTGCAGTCCCCTAGGGAGTGGGGTGGGCATGAGGGTGTGCAGAATCAAGGCCCTGGGAGAGTAGGGACAGTTACCAATACCCGCCCCCT